GTTTGGTTTCAAAATCGTCGCGCCAAATATCGCAAACAAGAGAAACAATTACAAAAGGCATTGGCCCCATCTGTGATACCGTCATGTAATGGTATGATGAGAAATATTCAAGGTTATAGCGTGTCGCGAGGTTATCAACCCTATCCTCATCATAATTCAATAAATCGTTATCCTCAGGTTTGTTAAATTTTTAAATTAAATATTTTTATTATTATTATTAAATTGTATTTATGTACAGAAATGGTAAATTAATTTAAATAAAAATGTTTTGTTTTTATAGGATCTCTTTCAAATGGGCGCCTCATCATATCCCGGCATGTCGCAACCGTTTTCTATGAGTCATAGTGCTAATATGGGCTCAGTTGGTGTGCGACAAGATTCAATGGGTATGTATTTCTTAACATTTTATATAGATTATAAGTTTAGAGGGGATTTTTATAAATTATATGTTTTATAAAGAAGAAGAAATATCAGACTAACAAATAGACTGACTAATTGTACCTTCACTGAAAGTTTATATAAATCGTATTTAATGAAACAGATTGAAGTAGGTTGAAAGTGTCGGCCTTATTTCACGGAGGTGGTACTTTTTCAACCACTGGGTGAGCTGACCACAACCTCTTTGTGCTTCTTAGACGCAAGTACATAGTTTTGCAGGTCCATGTACAAGCACATTGCTTAACTACTCGAGCTATCTAATCTCTGACCTTGGCTGTCCCATTGCTTAATTTCCGAGATGCTAAAACATCACTTCTGTTGAGTCGGCAACAGCACCTAGAGAAGTATTCGGTAGACCGAAACACGAATCCGTCAAATAAGCCGAGGACTTTATTCTTACTTACAGAGAAAACACTGTGGTAAATCGGGTATGAACAGAGTTTTCCCCGAATGAGGAAGGGAAATTCAATGGTATCACATGTATAAGGTACCTTTCATCCATTACCATTGATATCAACCACTTCTCACTCATTCGATATTCTCTTCCCGCGAATTTGGGTGTAAACCACAGCCACCACGTGCACCCCGAAAGAACCTCTCCAATAACCGGGACAAGACAAAGTCCGAAACTCTGCCCTGCAGGCTACCATAGTTTACCGCTGACTGGCCAGTCGTTTGATAGGCAGGTAACAAGGTTTCTTTATCCATGCCCAAGTGCTGCCGGCTAGAGACTTTGAGGGATTTTTCCCCATCGACTGTCACCGTCGGCCGTCCGCGGGTGTTTAGAGTTTAGACATATATAAATTAAATAAGATCAGCAAAAGGACTTAACCTTGTGGTACTCCCTGTTTAATTCTACGAGTCTTCATTGTAATTCATTAGCCATCTCTTGCTGTTTTTAGTGAGATCATATGTAAAAATATCTCTGAAGAGAATGGCGTGATTGACCGTATCAACAGCTTTTGATAGGTCGAGTGCCACAAGGATCCGGGAGGAGTAGTGCCTCATATGGCAATTGGCAAGAGGAGGGCGATTGCCCTGTATGATTCTCCCTGGTTTGCATTTTTTCCTGGCTTTAGCGGGGGAACAACCCTAACCAATTTCCAGACCTCGGGTATTATCAGAGTTGATATTGAAAAATTGAGGACTTTTGTAAGGTACTCAACTCCCGGTTCATCCTAATTTTTTAGCATCAACATGCTTTCGATGGTTTAGCAACTCTGATGAGACAGAGATCTAACAGCAGACCATAGTTTGCTGGCTCCGGTGGTGAGATGTCCATAGCTGCATCATTCCACGATTCACCACCATAAAGTAATTTGGACTTGGACATTGGAGTTGAAAATTAAATTAAAATTTATCATACCAAATACCTGTCTTGTCCAGTCTGCACTTTATGTCTTAGAATGAACCATCGGTTGCCATAATCGTGCAACCTAGATACAAATAGGAGGTTACATCTTCTATCGGTTGGTGTTTACGATGAAATGGTTCAGTTGTGGAGGTATTGAATCTGATCATCTTGGTTTTCATCGCGTTGATCCTCAATCCCACTCTTTCGCACACTTCCTCGACCATTCTAATCTTTTCCTGCATATCAGAGTGTCTAGGTCGATAATACACAATCTTCTCTAACGTCCTTCCTAACAGAAATTACTTTCTTTGTCCAGATATGTTAAAGTTTGTGTCCTCTGTTCATACCAGACTAACCACAGTGTCTTCTCTGTGAGTAAGAACTTGTCTTTAGCTTAGTTGATGGATTCGTATTTCTTTGTACCGATTACGTCTCTTAGTGTTGTTGCCGAATCAACAGATACCATATGTGATTCTAAACAGAAGTGATGTTTTTGCATTCCGGTAGTTAAGCAAAGTGTTAGCAATGGTCGGATATAGGATAGCTGAAGTACTTGAGTAAAGTGTTTGTACATAGACCGACGGAACCATGTACATGCAAGGCACAAGGGGGTGGTGGTCATCTTTAGCTCACCCTTCGGTTTAAAAACGTGAAATAGACTATTTTGCAGGTGTTTACGTGAGGAACTAGATTTCTTGCCCTAGCCATCAAAAGGAATATATTCATGTCCTATTTCTAACTTGCAGTAACAGGGAAATATAAGCCATTTAGCACCTTCCTTGAAATGGGTGTATAGGACGAAAATTTTAAAACCTTTAATAACTTCTGAGATGCTTTACCAGATATCGTGAAGCTGGATTTGTTGTAAAAATAACTAAATATTGCTTTAATATGAGGCGTTAAATCATAAACTTAAATTTCCTTATATTTAAGTTTATACTAAGCATAAGAAATAACAATATTTTATTTATGTATATATTTACTATATTTGCTTTTATCACACATTCTCCCGTCTGTCGGTCTTGCCAGTCAAAGATAAAGTAAAAATAAATTGGCTGCTTAAAAAGCGGAAATTATGCAATTACTTTTAAAAAATGTAATATAATTCTATACTAATCTCTAAATTTCCTTCTAAAAGTTAAAAGACGTTTGATTTATTTTATTCTTGAAATAAATCTTAAAGAAAATATTTGCAATAGTAAACAAGGATATGAAAATATTAAATGTAATAAGAAAACTAAATAAAATAAAACAATTTGAATAGGATACTAACTAAAACAAATACAATATGAGTGAGTCCAACTATACAAATGAGTAAATTTCCTAAACTAGAAAGAATATGTCCAGGTGGATGATAATATTACAAATGACTAAATTTCCTTATTGAGTAAAGAACAAATTACACAGTACAACAGCTATTTAATATGGGAATGTTTGTTGAGGAAATAAATAATAAATTTTATACTAAAACTATTCATTATATTAATTTCATTTTTAGGCATGTCACCCGAAGACGAATGGTATAATAAAAGTTTATCAGCGCTACGCATGAACAGTTCTCATCACCCCAACTTATCGGCGCCAATGCTGCAGTACCAAACATAATCAAAAACCTTTGACGATTTCTTTTAAAGTGTAAAATATTGTTATTAAGCCCGCAGCCGGAGAGGAAGTGCAAAAGGAGCTGCAAAACTTTTGGACCTAAACGTAAAAATTTTAAATATTTTATACTTTAAAAGAATTGCGTCATATTTATTCTTCTAGCAAGTGATCAATACGATCACCTATGAATTGTGGAGAAAACTAAAGAGATAAATACATATTCCAAAGATTTTTTTATAAATCAATCAAATATCTAAAGAATTTAATTGTTAATAATTAATACACTTATAGAATATATTTATAAATACCTATAATTAACACTGTAAAACTTAGTATTTTAACGATAACGTAATTAAATTTATAAATTGTTTCCTACACTAAAGAAATATTTATAAAGAAAAAGAAGAAAATTTACACATTTTTAAGAAACATTTACTTACATTTAAATACTAACAGATATTTCAAAAATTAAGTTTTGTAAATATTATTAAAAGTTTTATTATTAAAACGACACCGCAGCTAGAGAGAGAGACCTTTAAATTGGTCATTGATGAACTTAGCATTTGTATGCTTTCTCTCTCAATAGTAAAGCCTAAAGGTTTATTATATCATTGAATTAGTCGGTTTATTTCTGATATTTTTAATGTAAATATTTTAAAATTTTCTGTATTTTCGTTAATGTAAAGAGATAATAATTTATTAAAGAATTTTATTTACTTATTTATAATTTGAAATATACTCAAAATCCTTTAAGTAGTTAGTTTATTTCAAATCTACAGCAAAACTATAACAAAATTCTAGTCACAAAATAGCAATTTCTTTTTTTACTTGCTAATTAAAAAAAAAACAAACAAATGATTAATTAAATTTAAACACCACACTTTTCTTAAAAATAGTAAACATTTATAATAGAAAAATATAAATAAAATAAATCAAACAAAATGAAATTGTAAAGTCACCCCATAATACTAGTCACTAGTTACAAAACTACTTACTTTTCAGCAATTTCTATTTATTTTAGTTTTTTTTCACTATTTAACATGTTTATTTAGTTTTAAATACAACTTAATTTTTCTTAGCTAAGCAATGTTTAATGTCAAGTTATAAATAATTAATTACTTAAAAAATATATAAATAAAATAAACTATTTAAAATTTAAGATAAAATTTAATAAAATAAGAACAAAAAAATCATAAAGAAGAATTTCAGCCAATTTCTTCTTAAATGTGTGTTGTAATATAGTTTAAAATTGATTATTTAATAATGATGAAATGAAGGAAAACATTACCGATTTAAATAATAAAATGAATTATGCCAATAATATATTGTTTTTGTTTTATTTTGATTAAATACTTTACTTATGTTTTAAATTTTCATTAAATTTTAGGCATCTGGTTCAAAATTTGTTAATTATAATCCGTTTTAAAAGTTAGTAATATGTATGAAATTTAATCGAGGAACTATGTCCAACTATGTATGTATGTATGTATGTATGTATGTATGTATGTATGTATGTATGTATGTATGTATGTATGTATGTATGTATGTATGTATGTATGTATGTATGTATGTATGTATGTATGTATGTATGTATGTATGTATGTACCCAGTAGGATTTTGAGTTAACTTAAAACTAACTTATGGTTAACCACAAATGAGTCAGAGGTGACTCAAAAGCTAACCATTTTGCTTATAAAATACTATTCAGTTTTTCAATGTGATGTCATAGGAACGAGTCAGTGCTCACTCACTATACATCAGTTTCAGTTAACCAGAAGTTACCTCAAGATGAGTTAGCTTCTAGTGCATAAATAAAAGATCAGCTGTGAGTTACCTGTGCAATTTTCTTATATTTTTATACTATTTTTAACAAATTTTTAGTGATTATAAATGCGTTCAATATGCAGAAACATTTCCTTCTTATATACACCATTATCTATGTCTTATATTCCTGAAAATGTTAATTTAATAATAATAAATTCATTTTTCATTGCTGAAACAAATTTTCATTTTCATAATTTCATTTTTTCAATACAAATTGTTTGACAAATTTGATACGAGTTTCTATTTTATTTTTTATTTAAAATTTTATTGAAATGTTTGTTCATTTCCTCGATCATTTTTGAGTTACTTTGAAGCTAGTCATAAGAAGTTATCAAAAAGTTAACTTGATTTTTAGTTAACTCACAAAATCCTACAGGGTATGTATTTCAAAGATCTTCTCTAATCAGCCTTTGTTCAACTATTATTGCATTCACTTCCTGTCCAAACAGTCTCAGCAAAGATAGAATTGATAGGATTGATCAGAAAATTTAGACCACATCGGCTGAATGGTAAAATTCTGAAATTTTCAATTTTATTATCTCTGTGCTAAAATGTTATGGACTTATAAATAATTTGCTGAAAAATTACCTTGTAAAATCAGCAGTAGGGTTGATCATCATATAAATTATAGATATGACTGATTTTTGTTGAAATACTCGTATATTTAAGCTCTAAAGCGTTATTTAGGGGTCCGGTTGTATGGGACCTAAGTGAAATAATGGACCGTTTTTTAAATATTTATAACACACTTCGTCTTTTGTTAAATCATCTGCAAAAATGCGAAAGTTAGAAGGGTTTTTATTTGTTCCGTCTCGGTAGACCTTCTCTGTAAAAGTCTGTAATATGTATGAAATTTAATAGAGGAATTATTTTAAGGAATTATATAGTATGTTGAGGCTAATATAAACGCCATCTATATATCCGCGAAAAGAATCTGAGAATTAAATCTCAAGACGATCAACGAATCGTCCTTAGAGTAAACGCTTTCAAAAAGGGACAGAAATATCGGACTTCATGTGGCCCTCTATTTCAGCATTTTAAATACTTGACTACCACGTAATAGTATATGACAAACCGACAACAGTAACTTTTTAATTAAACAGCAATCGTCGCAACACTTTGCGTGTGATGGCCCTGACTTCAACGAATCCAATAAAATTATCTTGAAGTAATAATTGATTGTCTCGGCGATTCACAAGGTCGCCCAAATTTGGTTTAAATAAAAACAATCTTCACTTTATCTGAACTACTTACTATTAACCCCAGACCTTCAAACTTTATTTTAACGCTACTCGACCGACTATTTGAACTTCAGGTTGCTGATCTTGCTCAAGACCAGGGACCGAATTATCTCATACATGATACGTTAATTCATCGTCATTTTAAATCATAATTTTAAAATCCTATCTCTTGTGAGGGAATTCGGTCGCAAGTCGACTCAATATCGTAAGATAGTAAGTACCCTGAAGGTAGAATATCGGTTATTTGTACCTTGAACAATTCTTTTTTGATAACAAGTAATAATATCTCAACAAACGTCCCTTAAATATGTGACCTAGAACTGCAACAATCTCTTAACCACGAAGAAGAGTACACATTAGCATACTCTCTTATTATAGCATGAGCTTTCAACAATACCAAGTCGGAAGCAATTGAAAAAAATTTCAATGGCACTGGAAGTGGCAAAGGTACCCAAGAATTAATAGGGTACTAATTGTGGATATGATACAAACCTTAGAAGTCAGAAATGGTACGCTTCACTAGGAAAAGAATGACAATTTTCAACTATCCAAAATTGGAAAGAAAAACTTTGACACTGTCATAGCAGACCAAATTCCTAGGTGTTTGATTATAAACTAAACTGGATACCTAACATGTATAAATGAAACAGTTAATAAAGCGTATGTAGCAATTTTATTTTGCCAGAAACATATTGGGAAAATATGGCGGCCTAGATGGGATTGTCCACTGTCAATATAATGGACAAGGAAATACACTGCTACTGAGGCAACGTGTAGTATTCTAGGAATAGACCCACTACATCTGTGGTGGAGCTAAGAATCAACAATATGGGACATTCTTCATTTATAACAGACTATTACTGCAACGATACCACGACGGATTATTAAATATCTGTTGGGACAAAGAGATTGTAAGAGAATAACTGTAGATGGCATTGAAGTTTATACAGATGGACCAAAGTAAGGAAATTGAATGGGTGGTGAAATTGTTTGTGAAAAGATAGGAACTAGACACGGTTGTAGACTGAAAGATTCATGTAGTATTTTTCAAGCCAAAATCTTTGCAATGTGGTCAGACGTTGTCGCAGAGAGCTAAGTAACGTGCTTTAGATCTGTACTGAGTACCAGGTCACAATTATATTGAAGGTAACGAAATCGGGGATGAACTAGCATAAGCCTGTGTAGATATGGGTTTGAACACAGGCGCTTAAAATAGAATCCGAAACACTCTGCCATAGTTCACTTCGGTGTAAGCAGAATAAGGCTATAATATGGAAACCAGAAGACAAAAGCACTTTGAAAAACTTCTAGAACTGGAAAAATACAAACTTAAGAATTTTCCTTAATATGATAAAGTTATGCAATGACAATCACCCCCTATTCTGCATTTCGATTCGTTTCCCCATTCAGTTACGTTTTGATCGAAAATAGGTATTCCAACAAAAAATGAAATCGCAAGAAAAAGAAGATGCAAGCTTGTTTCACTGCTTTACGATAGTGTGTATTCTGCATTACGATCGTAACTACGTTTTTGTAAGTTGCTTCGAATCGAAATGCAGAAACGGAGAAAATTTCGATTCAAATTGAAATGTAGAATAGGGGTGAATATGTGCAGGTGGTGCAATGAGGAGGGTGAAGATACTTTACACATTTTCTTGGAACCCACAGAGCTAACTTGAACCTGAAATTTATACGATATTGGAGGCAATAGCGACGGACATTGTATTTCTCTGAGGAATCAGCTGTTGGTCTTGTGATTACACACATTTACTTGTGTGGTGCTCCTTTTAACCTGACCAAGTATGTTAGAGGGCAAGGATTTATAGTTAATGATTAGATACCGAAATGTCGTTGGGAATTGCAAGACTCCTGAACCACTTTTGTCATTCTTACACATCTACCGTTCGGAGCGTTTTTGTAAGTAGTATCTTTAGGTTCATACTTACCCTTAATGGCTGGATTCAATCAACTTCTTAGTAAAGGGTCAAATGACATCAATCAAAACGGACTGCTGCAGCTTCAGAGAATATACCGATCATGTATTCAATGATCTCTCGATACCTTTTGAAGTGTAACCGTTCAATTGGAATAAAAAGATATAAGTCATTGACGCACAAAATTCTTGGCTGTGAATTTCAAAACTTAAATCTCTGTGCGTTAAACATTTAAACTTAATCTTAAATAAAACATTTATTTTTAGTTTTTTGTTGAATGGCAGCTTTTTATTTTTTACACCATTTATTTAAATGAAATAAATTTAGATTTATTTTTATTTGTAATTAATAAGTTTTATATTGTATACAACATAAGTATTAAATTTTAATTTAAATTTATATAAATACATCTGTGGCTGACAGAGTATACAGCAGCACAGCATCAGTTTTGTTTAAGAATACAATTCTCTCATATTTTTTAGTTTTTTTTTTTTTGAATTAGAATAATAAATTTTTAGTATGAATGTAGTTGTATGTATTAATAAATTTAATTGTTTCAATTGATTTATAATTAATTAATATGGTGTATAGTTGTTTGTTTGTTCTTTGTCGTTTTTTTTTTTTTTTTTTGTTTATTACATACAAAAAATCCAACTTTAAGAATAATTTTAAAAGGATTAAGAAAAAAACATAAAATTTGCTTTAAAGTAAAAACAGCAAAATAAAAACAATTTTATTCTAAAAGAGAAACTAAATAATTCCAAGTTATTAATTATTAAAAATAAAATAACCAAGATAACAAATCAAAAAAGAGGGACAGAAGACCGTTTAGCCAGAAAAATAAAACAGAAAATAAAAACAGAAGCTTAAAATTAATATTACTATAGAAAATGATTTAAAAATAAGTGTTTTTTGTTCTTGTAGTCGTTTTAAAATTTAGTAAAAAAAACTCTTTCTTTTTAGAATGGCAAACAGTTAAAATATGTACTAAATTTTGTTTGTAGAATAGTGCAAATATTTTTGTTTGTTTAAATTGTTATTAAGTTTGCATAAGTGTTTTTTATCTCAAATGTTTAATTTTGTTATGTCTTGAACCAGCAATATTTTCTTAAAATTTTTGTTGTTGTTTTTTTGTTTTCCAAAGTATTAAACATGTTTTCTTTCTTATCATAAGGTAAGTATGTATGTATAATATTAAATTATATTTATGTATGTATATTTATCATATTGTATGTATAGTTATGTTTTATAGTTGTAATTAAATGTAAAAGTATAATCTGCATAAGCAGTTTATTTTAAGCAGGACTTGATTTAGGAAAATCCTGATTTGAAACACTCAAGGCAATCCTTTTAGCTGAAGGTGGCTGTATCTCCGTTGGTTCGGCATCTAAATCAATCTAAAATTTACAAAATTTTTAAATAATTATTACTTTAGTTGTTGTAGTAGTTTTTTCCCTCTAACCTCTAATATAATATTATCCTTGGCAGCCAAGACGCCACTCAAACTACTCTCGCTTTTACGTTCCTCTGTGGTAGTGGTGATTGTGGAAATCGTTGATTTTGAAATAGCAGTTTCACTCGATGTTGTATTATCCGATTCTTCATTAACACTATTAGGTACGATTTCTTTCTTTTTCAATTGAGTGCTGCTGCTGCTACCGGCTGTGGTGGTGTCATCTTTTTTCACATTACCACTGGCACTTGCACCAACTCCACTTATTGGCTCTGCATTTGTAGAGCTACTATTGGTGTTGGCATTCAAAGATGAGGTTGATGACGATGAGGTAGTAGTATTGGCCGAGTTGGCTGGAGCATTAGCCTCCTTTTCGGCTTCGAATTTCTTAATGATTTGATCTAGATTATAGCGACGACGATGATTTACATAAAATGTCTTAACATGAGCTTCTGTTTTAGTGCCCAGAGTTTCAGCAATTGCCTAGATTAATTTTGTTTTAGTTATTATTTTCTGTTATCTCCTGTTTTTTTCCCCTTCATACTTACTTGAAAATCTTTACCATACTTTCGCACTCCCTGTACAGCTAATAAAATTTCATCATTAGTCCATCGTGCATTAATGCGATTTGTATTTTCATTTGGTCGTATCTCTTCCAAATTATCAGAGTTTTTACGTTTTAATGCCGAGATATTTTGCTTATTCAACTGTACCTAAAAACAATATATTGACATTTTGATATAATCACATGTTCTCCAAACCTTAGAAAATGAATGTAAACTTTTTTTGGCATTTTGCATTTTTCATATTCATTTTCATTGTTCATTATTTTTCGTTAGAAGTTTTTGGTATATTTAATTATTTGTGAATTATGATCATTTATGTTAATGTCATACCAGTGAAAGTTTCATTTATGATTTATAATATAGAATCCTTATGTAATACATTATAATTATTTACTAAGGTTTAGGAATATGTAGACATGAACATGGAACTTCTTGTATACGGTTAAATGTAAATATACCTTTACAAGAACATTTCTTTTAAAAAGTCTTTTATAATTTGAATAAATTCTTAATTTAAAGAAAGCTTTAATTTAATTTAATAATCATGAATAGAATTTCGCTGAATTTTCCATAATTTTGAAGCATTTCGACTGTATTGTTCAAAAGCTATGTTCGAAAATGCAAGTTTTAATTTGGACTTAACAATTTAAACATAAAATGCCCTTAAAATTAACTTATTTCTGAGGTAAATTTTACTTATTATAAAAGGATTTGTGAAAATTTTCTATATGGATTTCTTTGTTTTGATGAAATGGAAAAATGGAAAACATATTGTCGGTACTAGTTCTATACAAGCGTTTAAATCTAGTTCTATGGAACTGTTCGTTCAAGGGAAGTTTTACCGAAAGAAGTAGAACTTTGTAACAGTTCTGCAACTGCAACAACACTAATGACACCTCATTAGTTTTAAAGTTGGCGTTCAAGAATGTGGAGTTTTTTAGAATAAACTATACAATTGTTTAGCTAATACTAGAGTATTTTCGACATGGCTTATTCAACTGTACCTATTAAACAATATAGCAGGAAGGTATTCGAACAATTGCTTCAATGAACAGGAACGTAAACAAGTGCAATATGGACAGTACATTCATTATATTTATGTATATGGAGAGATTTTCTAAAATTTTAGTACTTTTAGCAAAATATAAATTCGCATAGAGCTTCGTCTTGTGGTCCTAAATAAGAGACTAAATGCCATATTTCATCTTTCTTTATTTCAATAATTTATGCAGAAAATTTAAATTCCTACTTTTTGGACTAACAATTTACTTTTTAAATCTCAACATTTCTAATACTAAGAATCCTCTGGATCGTTGGTCGAGTAAGTACACTTGCTCGATCGCTACAACGTTGTGGCCTTATATGGACCCACGTAAAACTACCTATATCCTATCTTCAGACAATTGCATAATCTGGTATCGATCATTACTGGTTACTGCAAATTTAGTTACCATGCTAGACGCATTGGTCTTCCATGACTTCTGAAGAAGATGTCAGAATGGGGATGAAGATGAGACAGTAGTTCATCTTCTATGTAACTGTCCAGTCCTGGAAACGGTTCGAAACCAAACCCTAGGGTCAGCCTTCTCCAACGATTTATTTGATCTATTGTATGTTCTATTAGAACGACTCATTGCGTTTTTTAATCCGTCAAAATGGGGGTGAACGTAATTTTCCAACTACATCTCTATTTAACGACATGTTTGTCGTTTCTAATCTCTCCTTTCTTTCTGTCTCCTCTATATATATTTCCACTATCTCTATTTTCCTTTTTCTTTCAGGTATTTTTACAATGGATGGATTTGGGTTTTAATTAGGTTGGCGATACATCAATCAATCGTATTGCCAGGTTATCACACGTTTGTCCGGAGAAACCCCACCAAACGACCTATACCTTCATATAGGAAGTTGGAGCAACGAACTTAATTATATCAAAAGTATTATTGGTCTCCACCAGAAAAAAAAATTTAGATTTTTAATGCTCTCCACCAGTATATTTTTGAGTTTAATCGCGAGTATTTTATGGTTTCCACCAGTTAAAAACATAACCTCATTCTGAGGTAAAACGAAAGGAAGACAACGCATAACTTAGAAACAGTTATACGAACGATGACGCGAGAGTTATTCACCAAATCAGACCTGAATTACAACTGAAAGTGATCAACTTTGTATATATCAGGTTTTTCGTTACCAATGTATTCACCGAAGAACTAAGACAATCGTCACATTACTGTATCTTTGGTAAACGGTAAAGGGAATATTCGAATTGTTTTTGTAATGTAGTTCTGGAAATAGTTTAGTTTATAAATCTAATGCAGAGTCAATTGTCCATTTGTAGTCGAAGTGATATGTGGTAACTGTCTTCAAAGAGTCAATTGATGAATAAATCTATACGCGAAGTGTAATTTTCTATAACTAAGAATGTTTTTAAATAACAATATGATTGTAAAAACCCTAAAAAATACTTTCACGGTTAATAGCAGAAAGTTAATTTTCACTTTACTTTGCTAGAATGGTTTCTTCAATCTTGTAAAGTGGTTACTGCATAATTCAATTGGAAAGACATTCGTATAAAATGTATTTAATGTAACTAACCAAATGTACCTTAGGAATTAAAAGCAAATTGTTAGTAACAAAACAAATTAAAAGTTTAAATAATAAATAAAATTAAAACTACAAAACTAAAACTAATGAACGAAATGAATGAATGAATGAATAAAATGAACAAAAATGAATGAATGAATATTTTGCAAAATAACAATTCTTACTTGACTTAAGAGGGAGACAATTTCACGATCAATATTTGCCAGTAACTCATCTTGATTATCATTAGCACTGGCCAGAGCGACAATATCATCATGATTTATATACATGCCACGAGGAGGTTTGCGTTTATGACGTTCAGCATTACGGTCACGAGATCTTTTGCTAAAATATGGACCCGAAGTGGGACGTTTATTGCCAGTGCGTCTGGTAAAAATGATTGCATCATTAAAATAAGACAAAAAAAAAAAAAAAAAGAAAATCCAAAAGAAAAACAAAAAAAAGATGTGTATGTATACCTCCAATGATGATGGCAACTGGAACAAAGTTTACCATGTGGCGAATTATTCAATATATTACAGGCGACACCACAATTTGAACAATAGCCAGCGGCACTGGTAGAAGAGGAGGAATTGGAATTCATAGACGTAGAATTATTTGCATTGACATTTTGTATGCCATTCGAATTAATGGAATCGTTATTTATATGGGACGGAGGATTTAAAGAATGCAGTTGGGATTTATTGGCAATATTATTTGAAATGTGATTCGAATCGTTTTCAATGCCACCAACACCACCTTCACCACCAACCATATTGTAATGGGCGGCATCGTTAGTTTGATCAATTAAATTTCCTGCTTGTAATGATGACAAGGTTTGTTCCTAAAGGTTTTTTGTAATTGTATCAGTTGTTGTTGTTGCAGGTTAGGCATAGGCGGAAAAGAGAAAGAAAACATACATAAGATTTTATTTTTTTTTTTTTTAATGGAAATTTTATAATTCGAATTTTGAACTACAAATTAAAACAAACAAAATAGAACAACGAAAAGAACAATAAAAATCTTATGATTATTTTTTTAAAAAAATTCTTTGATTTGTTTTGAGTATAACTTCTTCGTTTGGCGGGGGTATTAAAACAAAAATGAAGTTGGTGGTAGAAAGACTACGAAGAAGTTGAAGAGAAGAGCTTGATCAAACAAAATTTATGTATTTTTTCTTTTAATATTTTAACAAAGTAAAATTTCTTTAAAAAAAATATTAATATTAATTAATAACGCCAACAACAACTGATTTTATAAAACATTATTTTTCTTTTTGTTACAAGTTACAGGTGGTGGTCTTGTCTTTCCTTTTTTAAAAATTTCCTAATTTCAAGATATTTTTTTAAATTTCTTTTATTTTCAAGTAAAATTGTATTTTGCAAGATTGAATTAAAAGAAACAACAGAAAATAGTTAAATGTTGATGATGATAATAATGTTACACACAACACAACTCAGATGAAAAAAACAATTAAAAAAAGACGATGAATGTGGTATTAATGAAGTAATGCATGAAAACGTTAGTAAGAGCAGAAGAGACTAAGTAGAAGTAGTAAACGATTCTTATTAAAAATTTTTACCCAATTTCAACATACACAAAGAAAACAAAACAAGATAGAAAGTGCCAAAATATATGTACGAATAGGTTTTGTTTTTTTTTAAATGCCAATTAATGTTTAGAGTATTAAAAAAAGAAACACATGAATTTTGTTTAATCTTCTCGCAGACAAAACATTAATTTTCTTTTTTTTTATTATTATTTAAAATTTTTTTCTCTTATGATTTTGGTTGAGGTGAGTTTTTTTTTTATATTACTATTTATGTATAATATATGTATAATTTCTTTTCAATATAGTTGCTTTAATAACTATTATTAATTATTAATATTATTGTTGTTGTTATTTATAATTATTTATAAGTTTTTTTTTTTGTTTTGTTTGATATTGTATATATTTCTATTATAGTATGTTTGTAGTAAGTAATAATAAAGTATGTTTTGTTAGTTTAGTTTAAAAATATATAAACAGTCTTTTACTAAAAACTAAGCAATTTAAAATTAAACTTATAATTAATTTTTTATATGGTTTTTTCTTTTAATTTTTAGGTGTTTTATTTTTGTTTTAATTGTATTTGTTTTTTTTTTTTTAATTTTTAACTAACAATATAAATACGTTTGTAAAGACAACAGAGTTAATAAAGATCACCAAAAAAAGGAAAAAGTAAGAAAATTATTTGGCATAGCTTTGCAAACTTTTTAGCCCTTTTTTTTAAAGAAAATTTGTTTATAATAAAATAAAATCTTGCTAAAACTGTTGTTGAATAAAAATACATAATCTGTTTTAATTTGTTTTTTTTTTTCATTATACACAATAAATTTTGGGAATTTTATTTTAAATTATTATGTAAAAATATATTTTAGAGCAACTTAAATAAAAATTAAGAATTAAAAACAAAATAGGAGAGGGGCGGCGATTTTTGGATATTGTAATGTTTTTAAAACTTAATTTTTATTTGCAAAATGTAAACTTTTGTAAATGAAAATGATAAAAAAATTGGGGAAAAACTTATTATTATTTTTATTAAATTAACTTTAAAACTTTCTTATTTCTTATTTAACCTCCAGTATATCTTCTCTACTCTTGTGTCTTGGCCAAAGATTTGAAATATATTTCTTTACTTAATAGCGCATTTTGTTACTTTTAAAACTGCTTTATTTTAGTGGAAATCCAAAATTTGTGGTTTATTTGTAAGCCTAGTAAATAAGCTATAATCTTTTGCGTCTTATCATATTGTAAAATTTATTATGCTTTTGAGCTTCAAGGCTTGTTTGCAATGACTTTTTGTTTTACAAATTTGATTAGTTTGCAAAACCAAACTGCATTTTACTGTGAAAAGCTATAAATTTCACTATTACAAAGTTAATACAGCGATAGATGACTCTAAGCTAAATAGCACATTTTATTTCTTTTATTTGCAAGTGTAGTAAATATAGTAAAATCTTTGGCTTTAATATCATATTGTAAACTGATTGTTTTAAACACATTTGCCAGTATTGGGACTTCTTTACAATGACTTTTAGTCTTGCAAATTTACTATTAACTGAAAACAAACTTTTTTAATTTCTTTGTAAGACTTTGTAATGGAATCTTTTGATCATATTGTAATGCTCTCACAAACATATTCAAGACATATATATAATTAAGTCAGAGGATTTTGATTCAAGTTTATTTGTGACCATTATATTAACCCAGCAGTTCGATGTGCTGGGTTAAACTAGGGTTAGCCACCTACTGCCCAGGTGACTAGCTATTGTAACATGTGCTTGTTCTACGAGGAAGTCAATATTCACCCCTTAGATTACGAAGAGACAGACAAAAAGCTTAAGTTTGTTTTTTTTTTTTAAGTGTCCACTCTTTCGCTTACAAAGGGGACACTAAAGTGACGATTATCTTCGCCCTCGTTTACAAAGAGTACATCCGTGACGAAAGATGAATTAGCTCAAACCAGGTGGTTAGACGTTAGCGGTAATTTGACTCTTTGTCGAACTGCTGGGAATGATATTTTGAAAGTTTCCATATAACTTTATAATGAACAATAATCGAAGGTTAATTTAATACAGTGTAGTATCGTTTTGTTTTATCCAAACTTTCATTCTTTCAAACAGTTTCTTATTAAATTTAAAATTATAGTAGACTACAACTGAATATTTGTTCGTATTAGGAGTTAAACTGGGTTAAGATATCTCGAAGAAGGGAAAAAATATAACAAAGATTAAACCTGTATTGACCAAAAACTATTTGTTTTTTCAAACTATAGGACATAATATCTACAAAACCTGATGTTATTTTAAGGTCAGAAATAGTTTAAATCTTTAGAAAAGAAAACTTTGGTGTCTATGGTTTTATAAATTATATCGGCCATAAAAGGAAAGATTATCTTGGTATATTTTTTCAATAATTTGCTATTTTTCTAAAATATTTAAAATCATCCTTCAGTGAAAATGCACAAATATGAAGAACAATAACAAGTAATATTTTTTTATCATTTTCAAATACAAAAGTAAAATATTAAAAAAAAATACAAAATTGCAAAACACAAAGAAATATGAAATAGTGATTAAATGTGGGGATGGATGATTAAATAAATAATTTAATGAAAATTCATGAAACTTACAATTGTGGCAGGATTTAAAACAATTTATACACAATTTAAAATAGAGCAGAAAATAAAGTTTTGTTTTTTTTTCGAAAACCATAATAATAATAATTAAAAACTAAAATGTATAAAATTTTCTTTTTACGTACAATAAATAATAAACTCTCTGATCTATTTTAAATTAACTTTAAATTGTCCATAATAAGGTTTTTTTTCTAAGATTGCATGTAATTTTTGTTATCTTTTTGTTTTAACTAAAACTATAAATACATAATAATAGTTTTGTTTTCTTAATTTTTTCCAATTATTTGTTTTGTATGTGTGTATTATGTATAATTATGTATTAATAAACAAAAACTCATAACTATATATAAAATATTGACTATATTACATTTGTTTAGAAAATAAAAGTTTAGAAAATAAAATAAAAAAATCATTTTAAAAATAGTGATAAAATTTTGTTTGTTTTGTTTTTATTTTTTGTGTTTTTTAAAAAACTACACCTAAAGTTAAGCCACAGCGTAACTATAAAAAAAGCCAAAATGATTTTAACGTTTTCAGAAGAGAAATTGTAAAAAATAAATTTAATAAACTAAACTATACTAAAAAAATCAAATAAAAAATTGTGATCATATAAAAACAAAAAAACTAAAGTTTACTAACTCAAAAATAATAATAAAAAAAAAAATCAAAATAAAAATGTAAAATGTATAATTAAAATGAATTAACTAAATTCTAACTAATAATTACCTTGTCATCATTGTCGGATTCTTCATTACTGCCATTGTCACTACCGTTTTCTGAAGAACCACCCTCTTTGTTGGCTTTTAGTTTCTCCTGACGATCCATAACACTTTGACGATGTCGTGTCTTTTTCCATGAATAGTAATATTTAACCAAACTGGCTATTGATTTATCGGGTAACTGGAGGAAATTGTAAAAAACAAATATTTATAATTAGTATTAAAGAAATATGTATATGGATGTGTAGAGTTTAATTTACCATTTGACGTATACGATGAAAACTTTTGCCATGAAATTGAAATGCTTGTTCAAATAGTACTTTATCTTCAACGGTCCATTCATCGGGAAATGGTGTAAAGTTTGCCAAATCCATTACTGCTCTTTCTAAATCATGTTTATGCCAAAACAACATACCCAAAGCTTGTTCGCCATTATAACCATATTTCTCTTTGGCAACTGATATGTATTCCTCAACTATGTAAATGGAAAAAAAAAATATATTAATTTTATAATTTTTGTTTGTACTAAATTTTACTTATAAGAAAAATTATGAAAAAATATTCGTTTATTTTGCATCTAAATTGTGATTTATTTAATTCATTTAAATAATTAATAAAAATAATTCTGAGGGAGTAGAATGTTGTTGTCATAGAATCCAATAATTGCCGGAATTCGATTTGAAAGCGTCTGAAAATATGATCAGATTTTGAAACCCAATACATATTATCAGTTTTGTGTTCGATCTAAAATACGATTCATTAACGAGCAAAGAAGCGAAGACTTACGATTTCATGAAACCAACGTATTTTTTGGTAGTTTTTAAAATGACGAACTATATGAGGAGATAATGAAATAGTTGCAGGATTTAAAGGTTAAGAAAAATAAAACCTGCCGAGGGAAACTGAGTAGCTGTGACAACATAGTCCTGATGTAGCTCCCCAATTACAGTTCAGTGGCCAATTGAAATGCTTAGTAAACCTTAAATTTATAATTTGGATTTATTATCGATTTTAGGTTAAACTTTTATATCCTAAGAATAGTACTGAACATTTTCTTTTAATCTTCGTAATTGAACCTAGACTAGATATGTATTCGTAGCTATATTGCAGAATATTATAACTGGGAAATGGTAGATACTTGTTCTAGGGCACGAAAATGTTTTCAAAAATTTCATGATTTGCAAACTTTAAAACTCAATCTCAGAAGGCAATGCATTTCCGGGATCGCTTCTGTACTTAATATACAAAGTATCATTTGGGAGACGACCGGTTTTCAGTAGACTCTTCTGTCTTTATGGTCTTTTTATTTTTCTATTTTGGAATTTTCACTTCCTGCCAAGGCAATCACAATATTTTTAACTTCAAAATACTTACGCTTAGTATCGGGAATATCTTTAGTGGGTGACCAAACAAGCAGAGCACGATCATTAAGAACTTCAGGTTTTCGATCCGGTTCGGGTATTAAAGGTGGACACACTGCCTGATAGTCACGACCAACGCGGATTTTTTCTAAAGTTAATATGTAAATAAATCAATTATAATAAAAACTAAATAAAATAAAATATTAAAATTTACCTTCATATTCACTTTGTTTAGCTTTTGATTTACCATTACGTTTGATGGCTAATAATAAAGAAAATAAGGAATTCGAATTGTATTACCATCATATAAATAAAGTAATATATAATGCTGACACCACTTACAATTGTCATCATCTGAACTTGTTTCGGGAGTGCCAGTGCCACCGGGAGCACCAGCCGTGCCACTAGCACTACCCGAACTAGCGCCATGACCATTTGGGCTAGGACCACGCGAACGTCTGCCATTACGTACTAATTCTGAATTACGTTCCGCCAAAACCATTGTGTTTTAAAAAAGAAAATGAAAGAAAAGAACTGGCACAAACCAAAGAGAAATAATTATTGTTGTAAATCACACGTAGTGCCGCTGGAACAATGGTCACCGCAAACAAAAAAAAAAAACACGTTCTTACAATACAATAGTGGGAAGAGTGGGCGCACAAATAGTTTTTCTTTAATTAAAACTGAAATAAAATAAAAATCGTGATTTTATTATTTATACTACAATTTGTATATTATAATAATAATTTCTAAGCTTACATCACAATTATCATTTATTAAACTCTATTATTTTAATATTAATTTGTATTACTTTATTAGAATTAGAAATAATTCAAAACTGCATTTTGAAATCCTAGCAAGCGAAAATTCATTTGAAACTGAAAATTCTCTCAATCCGTCACACACTAAACAACTTGAATGAAAATGAAAAAAAAAAATAGAAATTCAGCATTTGCAACGCAGCAAGCCAGCCCAAAGTCTCTGAAGACAAATCACAGCACACTTTTGCCAACGACCGTAGATTGTAAAAATAACGTCGCTTGAAAAGCATAAAGAAAAACAAGCAACATAGCAAAAACAAAAATATAAACAAACAAATGTATTATTGTAAACTCCATAGACTGGAAAAACGTATAAATTTACAAATGTTTTAAACAAATCCGCGCGTATCCCACATTTGGTAATCTCATATTCTTCTTTATATGCACTTTTGTCTTTACACTTTTCTTCATCATAACACTTCTTATGCTTCTTCGAAATTTATTTTTATAGATTTACTTTTAGCAATATTTTCTAAAGATTATTATAGCAAATTACCAGAAGTAATACTTTCTTCAACTGCTCACAACGTTGGAATTTATTAATCTGAATCTTTTGTAATTTACAACCGCAGTCAGTTCTTTTTCCTGCAAAGTCTCTCTACTTCAACACAATGGTGGGTAATGAATGGGCAGGTAAAAAATCCTCAGTGAATTAATAAAACAGAGTTGATTTTTGCTGAATTCAGATACACAGCACACTTTTCATTCTTTCTCGAACGACCGCAGTTACTAATAAAACTGCCTCTCTTCTCACCAACAGAAAAAATCATTACAACACTTTACTTACAGCTTATTATTTATACTTACAATTTAAATTGTGGATTTCTTTAATTTATCTTATAATTTTGTCAATTTCCTCAATTATATTATGTACTTTTCGATTAAAATGAATCTTGTGTTATTCAAAGATGCTTGTTGACACATTTTAAATTTACGATATTTGGGTTATTTCTGTGTTCAATGTACACAACACAAATGTCACGTATTCAGCTGTACTTGAAGTGACCTGTGTTTAGTTGGTAAAAGGGTAATGAGTACTCGCTTTGTTGGTGTGATTACTTTAACCCTCAAGAGGAATTGCAGTTTTTAACAAAATATTTTCACAAAAATACAAAAGATAACAATAAATATTTGAATATTTTGGTGCCATTTTTAACAGTTGAAGTTTTCATTAAAATAATTTAGAAAGAAATCATTATTTTTGATATTTTTCTGTCAACCAAATAAACCTATATTATCTATTGCAGAGATGTTATAAAAATAAGTCGATGCTGACGATTTAAACCGCTAAAAATTGGACGCCATTTTGTATAACTACATTTACCTGTTTGTTTTAATTTTACCGTAAAAATAGATGTTTACATTTATTGTTTTATAGAGGTTTTAGGCAGACGCAAAAGGAAATAATTTCTTAATTTCTCTGAAATATGAAAAGAGAAATAATTTCTTTAACATTTGTGTGATGTAATTCAACGAAATTAGTGCTTCGTTTCTGTATTTTTCTCGAATCGAGAACAATGGATGAAAAATCTAATTTTATTGTCTGAAACTGTTCAGGAATGAGGGAATAGTTGTCTAAATTTGTCATTTAGTCTCTAACACGTAGAAATGTCCTTCTAAGTACCAGTAAAGTATATCCCTATTAAATTTTGGAATACACACTTATGTCGACGTCTGTCTAAGGCAAATTCATTTTTATTTTTTTAAAATATGGATAAAAACATACAATTTAAGTTTTCGGTTTATAATTTATGATTTTGAATTAAATCATATTTGTTTTTTCAAAAATTTGCACATATCTCCGTTTTTCATGGACCGATTTTGCTTATTTCAAATATGAAACCTTTCTGTAGAATATCTGATAAAAATATTAAAGATTTGGATCCTGACGCTATCTGGGATCTCCAGAATATTGTTTTCAACAAACATACGGACAGACAGACTGACATCACTTAATCGACTTCGCTACCTATAAGGATTCAGAATATATGGGATTTTTTGTGCAAAATTTTGTTAAAATATTTAAAGAAGAGTCTACTGTAGAATTTAAAATTCTTATCATGTTTTCGAACCCTGATTCCTTATAAAATATTCGAGTAATCGATTATTTTACTCCTAATAAAAGCAACACAAAATGTCAAAAACAGATTTATTTTCATTATGTTTTCTTTTTATATTCGTTTTAAATTGTGATTAATTTTTTTGTATCTATTTTGATTTGCTACCGAACAAGTGTTAAAGTTTCTTTATTTAAGAAAAATCTAAATTTTTCTTAAAAATATTGCCATAATATTTATAAAAAAGTATTTTATAAAATTGAAATTAAAGTAAATTTCAAATTTACAAGGTTGTGGTAAAAATGGCTTCACAGCCAGTCGAAACTCAAGGGCTTCAACAGAAGTCGAAACGACCTTCAGGTGAGTTGTCTTACGATGATTAAAAAGCATAAAAGAAAACTTATTATCGTATTAATGGACTAAGTTAAAGTGGTAAATAAACGGACAGACATGTACATAGTATGTCGGTATGACTAAGACACTACAGTGGACACATTTAAAATTTACAATTATTGATTATCTATGAGAACTTTTTTATAAAAAGAGGGTGGTGATGAGGTAAGACTTTTAGTTACATTGACTTTCGCACCATCTACATAGATATGTATGTTGTTTTTGTTATTGTAGTGTTGTTTATTATTAATTTTCTTTTTGTTTTTTATAGACTCTGCCTTTAAACAACAGCGTTTGCCTGCCTGGCAGCCAGTTTTAACAGCTGGCACCGTCCTACCCACCTTCTTTATCATTGGTATTCTCTTTATACCTGTTGGAGTTGCTCTACTCTATTTCTCCGATGAAGTCAGTGAACATGTCATCGATTATACGGACTGTTTACAAATGGGCCAAAGTAATTTAACATGTTCAGAGTTTTTGATTTCAAATCCCCCTGGTTCTACTTGTAAATGCCAAATAGAATTTAAATTGGAGAAAGATTTTGTGGTAAGTTGTTAATTTATAAAATAAAATTCTATAATTATTTAAAACTATAAAAATTATCTTCGTATGATTGGGTTAATCTATTGGGGTGTTAAAAGTTTTATTGATATGTTTGAAAATATGATAAATTTAACTCTGATAAGGTTTATTTTAATAGTGCAGTCTTAAGTGTCTGATTCATAAATGTATTTGTGTATTTTAATAGGAATTTGAAGTGCGCTCCTTTTCATGAAAAAAATTAGAAACTTCAAAAAGTAATAATAAAATTCCATAAATTTTTAACATCGTAGAAAAAGTATGCACGTGATTTTACTATTCCTGGACTTTATTTTTCTTAATCTTTGCCTTATGGGAATTAACACTCTAAAAAGCTAGCAGTTAGATAGATAGATCATCAATTGAATCATTTACCTCTTTTTGTCCCAGACTCTACACTGTAGGAAAGTTTCATATATCATGTTTCAAGCACTGAAAACCTCGTACAACCTCCAAAAATAGCGTTGGGGGTTGGGGGTTACAGCGTCAATGTCTAGTTTTAGAAGTTATGCTGCAATTTAAAGTAGGTTTGGTTAAGTAGTTGAATAAATGGTGTTCATCATGGGGATCATGACAATAAGCTGGACATTCGTTGGGGACAGTACGTCCCCAAGGTCCTTCCTGAGTATCTAATTTCTTATTTTCAGGGGAGTATCTAACTATGAATGTTTCTCCACTGGGTATAACTGAACCCAAAAACATTCATAGTTGGATACTCCCTCACACTGGAGCAGCTTATTTAACCCACCAATCCTTATAATCGTTTTAAATACAGCTAGCAAAGTTTCTCCATTCATGTCCCAAATGGTGCCTCTGACTTCGACACCATCAGTTTGGAAGCATTACCACTTCCAAGCCTTTTCACTACATGAATCGACTGGAAGCTTACCAAATAATCAGTCTTTTGGTTGATATCAACATTTACCTGCTGCTGTCCCTAAGAAGTGGACCATACCTCAACGGTATCGACGGGGCCTTAGATTCTTTCGGCTTATTTTAGTGCTTTAGCAAAAATAAATACATAATTTAAATTTATTATTAATCTATTATCTTCACTGTTGAATTTGTATTTTTTGAAAAATGGATCGATCTTGATTTTACTGTAATACAAAAACACTTTTTATCGTTTTCCTTCCATTCCAGGGTAATGTCTACATGTATTATGGTCTTAGTAACTACTATCAAAATCATAGACGTTATGTAAAATCTCGTGATGATGATCAACTATTGGGACGTCTCTCCGACACACCATCTACCGATTGTGTGCCATTTGCTTATGCTGACACCGAAACTGGAACACAAATGCCCATTGCACCCTGTGGTGCCATAGCAAATTCTCTTTTTAATGGTAAACTATTGATGTCGCAATAAATTAATAAATCTAATTATTTAATAATTTTAGATACTTTAACATTAAACTATGGCACTACTTCTGTACCTTTACTTAATACCGGCATTGCATGGCCCTCGGATAAACAAATCAAATTTCGTAATCCCGAGGGTGATTTGAAAACTATATTAAAGGATCATTATGCTAAACCTAAATTCTGGACGAAGGAATTGTGGCAATTGGATGAAAATAATCCCGATAATAATGGTTTTCAAGTAAGTGTTTAACTTAAAATAATTTTTCTACAAATAATTATAAAATTTAATAATAATTTTTAGAATGAAGATTTAATTGTTTGGATGCGTACCGCCGCTTTACCCAGTTTTCGTAAGCTATATAGACGCATAGATCATTCTAAGCCCAATTTTGAAAATGGTCTTAAAAGTGGTCTATATACTTTACTTATTGATTATCGTAAGTTTACATAATATTTAAATTATTATCAATTTAAAATGAAATTATACTGGATTTTTTATAAACTTTTTAGAATATCCCGTCTCAGCTTTTGATGGTTCGAAGAAAATGATTTTGTCGACCACTTCATTGTTGGGAGGAAAGAATCCCTTCTTAGGAATTGCTTATATTGTAGTCGGTTGTATTTGTCTTATTTTGGGCATTGCATTGCTTATCATACATATTAAATGTAGTAAAAGGTTTGTTGTTATAAACTAATACACTTTTTTCTTTTTATTTTTTTATTTTATTTTTGCACATTCATTGCGTTTGTGAGAAAGTGAGTTATAATAGAAAGCATATTAAAGGGGGGAATTTAAACAAATGCTTTAATAATGTGTTTTTATAACATTATTTGCTTTGCTGATTACATTTTTATTATAATAACGAAATAAATATGTTTTGTACTTGGTAAAGTACAAACATTTTTGTTTCTAATTGCATGTTTTTCTTGGCGCAATTTTTCTCTCTTTAACTGTAAGTGATAACAAATATTACTTCATCAAATTTTAAATTTAATTAATAACGCATGATGTTTGAGTTTGAAAGTGGCTTAACTTAATTCAGCACTATTTTTTGAAAAATTAACAATTGTCACAAAAATTTTAACTTAGAAATAAGTAATCTAAGCACCAGGCATGGAAAATTCAGTACTATAGTACCCCAGCAAAAAATATTTGATGTCATACTTTACAAACCACATCTTAATCACATCTTAAAATGCGATTTCATATTTTTCACTTTTATAAACCAAATATTTCCTTACAAATGAAACCCCAGTTAAAAGTGAGGAAAGAGATGTGGAAAAGTCATTACAAATAACATATTTGAAGT